GTGTTTCCACTTCTGTAGTGAACGCTGGTGTTAGTTGCTGTTATGTTTCGAATTGAAATCTTTCAACAACTGTTGTGAATAAAATCCATGTTGTTTTTTTTTTCCAGGAAGATGTGTTCTAATGTAGCCGGTTTCTTTCGCAGTGTGCATAAGAGATGGTAGCAGCAGCAATAAACACCCCACAGCAAGAGTATAACGCTGTGCAGGGTGAAGTGCTGTACAGTGTGGATCAAGCTGATGGATTTGGGGCTGTATGATATGATGCAGAGTTGAAGTTGTTGTTTCAGGCTTTTTTCTTGATCACTGTCACTGCAGAGCTTCCACAGGAGTTTGTTTAAGGAAGATCTAGGTAAGAAAACGGTTGTTGGCTCTTAATGAATCAGACAGAAAGTAGCTGTGGTGAGTGCTCCCCTGTGGGTCTCTGTAGGCTCTCGAGGAGGTAAAAGGCTGTTCCCTTCTCAGAGGCTGTAAAACGCCTGACTGCCAGGGCAAAGTTAGCGAGCAGCGGAGTTCCTGATTTCTGGCAGGTTTGTGCATCGCCAGACCAACTGTTACCTCTGTGCAGAACGCGCAGTGCCTCCTTCCCCCCCAAGTCCTTCACACGTAACAAAGTGGAAACGCAGAGGCGGGAAGAGAAGCTGCTGCGGTCGCTTTTCCTCACTGGCAGCAAGGCAGGGGGAAGCAACAGGGTGTATGAAAGGGCTTCAGCGAGCTGAAGAGTAAAGTGCTGGACTATTTTCCTTTCATTTAATCTCTGCCACCTGCCATGAGGCTCCCGTATCTTTGAGCCTGTGAAGGCCCCATTTTGTTCAGTTCAGTTTAATCACTGCATTTAAATACGTGTGTAAAACAACAACAACAAAACCTCATCTGCATGAAACCAAATTTTATATTCTCTCCCTCTCTTAACGTGATCCCATGAATTTCTTGCATTGTTGCGTCCCATGTACTGAGGGTCCCATGCAGAGAGCAAACAATAAAGCAGCGAGAAGACAGATGCTCTGCTAATGGGAAACCAAGGAGAAGAGAGTCTGTGAGGGATTACAGGCAGCCTGGGGTTGGAGTACATTATTAGCATAGCACCCAATTCAGAAATTAGTTTTCAGAATTAAATGCTTGAAGCATTTTGGCAAAAACTCCTGATCGTCCCTCTCAAAAGCCCTTAAAGCGTAAAAGAATAGGAATCTCGAGGCTGGGCTGGGCAGTCGCACTCGGTGACTTCGCAGTGCTGTAACCCTGAGTTGTAGCTGTTACGGCTGCATACCATGGCCGGGCAGCAGCTGCCACACCTACTGAAATGCAGCCCGCTCGATCTGCTTGCACAAACCTTTCGCAGGTTTTGAACATCCTCATCAAAGACGAAAATGGGCCTGAATGAGATTCCAGGGCCTGTTTCCAGGAGGAAGGTTTTGTTTTGCCGAGCGCGTAACAGCGGGGAGTGCATCAGCCTCTCCTTGGGCACGGCTAGGCATGCAGAGGAGAAGCAGCGACACGTCTTTTCAAAGATCTGCCGTTGCCTAAGGTAGAAACTTTGGGCCCTGAAGCCTTTTTCAGGCGTGCGATTTTCTGAATGTTTTTGCTTTTGAAAATCACGATGAGAACATCAGACTTTAAAGGACCCTGGGCCGACACAGAACAGTGCGGACAGGAGAAATTGTTTCTCATAGTACTCAGTGGGATTATCCTCCATGCATAATTGTTCATTATATGCTCAAAATTCATTGTTAATTTCTTTTGGATGTATGGCACATTAGACAGAAGAGTTGGAAACCCCAAGATTATCACAGGAGGACACTAACAGGGCTAAATATTCAGGACAGAAGGGGACTTGTTTTCCTCTTACATAGAAACAAAGATCCTTGGATAGAATCTTTAAGAGATTTTTTTGCCCATTTGATAATCAAAGTATAGTGGACAGCAAACAAAAGAAAAGTTCAGCCAGCCAAGTCTTCAACTTTATTTTTACTCTTCTATTCTAACATAATTAAAATATTTCTCAAGGTGTATTTAGTTTCCCAGAGTCTTATTTTATATAAGTATCATTGGAGAGCTTGATTACGAAGTCTGGATTCATGCACATAAAGTGATATTTTATTATCCTGGGAGAGAAGCCAAGGACAAGGTAAATATAGGAGAAAACAGTTGGGAACAAACTAAGAAATCAGGAAAAATAATATACCGGCTCTTCAACATGCGCTTGTTTTCTTTGTGTCCTAGTGACTAGCATCTTATTTCCAAGTCACAGAAGTGAGAGTAGGGAGTAACACTTCGTTTTCAGCTTTGAATTTCAGAGCTGTTCTTTTTATAACAACTTCTTTCAATGTTTTTACATATGTTTAGTGAGCATCTATAATGAGTATTTGGGAAAGTTCAAAATTCTCCTTCTTATTTGTCCTGGGTACAGTCTGTCTGTAGACTTCTGGATGTTTCCATCTAGTTTGAGATTGGTCGGTATTTACATCATCTTACTGGTCTGCCAACAACATATTTTTTTTAGAAAAAAAGCTGGCCCATAAGAACCCCTTCCAGAGTAGGGCTAGAACGGAGCCAGCGCTGCCTGCATCCCGACAGAAGCGGTGTGTGTGGAGTACAGTGTGTGCAGGAAGCCTGGCAGGGACGTGGCCTCGCCTCCGGGGTCTTGCCTGTCAGCCCATGGCCCTTCAGCCCGTGGCCCTTCACTCTTCCACTGCGATCTGCTGCTTTTCCCCCCTCCAACTATGTCGGTAATAAAAGAGGCTGCAGAGCACAACCTCCTCTGCTCTTGCATTCCCTAGCTGGCAAGCTCTGGGGGACCAGTGCTTCCACCACCCTGTCGCGCTGGGAGCCCACCGTCAGGGCGGCTCTCGGCCGTGCTGAGGGACAGGGAAGAGGCCGTTCTGCCTTGGCTGCAGTCTGGAGCAAGTCACGGCTGCTCTCTCGTTGCACACACAAGATTTGTGAAGGTTAATAATAATCAAGTGCTTTGAAGGCAGAGGTTGCCAATTTTGATTAGTATTTTAAGACTTTGTTTGTAAGCTCTGCTTCTAAAACCGAAAACTTAGCACAACAGCCCTGTTTGAACTCTCCAAGTTAAGAACAAACGCTGCAAAGCAGAAGTTGACAGGTGAGCTACAAAAATGTAGAGGAAATCATTTATTGTTTACCCTTAAACAGCAGTGTCTGCAGTACTACCGTCAGTGGGAAGCGGTGCTGCTGGGGTCCGAGGCTGTTGGTCTGTTCCAGCACAAAGAGATTTCGGGCACAAGCAGAGCTGGTCTCACTGAATTGGGTCTCCAGCTTGTCTGGGGTCGACACTGTGATCAGAAAAGGGAAGAGTGCGGCGGTGAAGGACAGCTCCCCGAGCCTCTGAGATGTTTTGTTGCTGGCATTGGACTTACTGCCATTTTGCAAAGTTGTCTAAATTGGGTAATCCAGTTCTGGATGTGTTTGAGAAATAACAATTCTCTTGTTAAAAACAAATCATGGTTTTAATTTAATAAGGCTAGTTGTATAAAGAGTGGTTTTGTGTCAGCAAAACCTTCCTCTCTGACAAACAGTGTAATTTATGACAATCTAGTTAGCAGTAAATGGCATTCATCTGACCACGATGCCATTCTCTTCCTGGGGAATAATGTTCCCTCTTCATCAATAGCTGGGTAAGTGCTCCTTTGCATTCCTTATCAAATGACAGCCAGATGGTCCGGGTAAATTCATTCCAGCAGGATTTTAGAATTAGCTGGGTTTGTACTATTGTTAATCCGCTGCTGTCTGCGCGGCTCGGACCTACCCACCTGTTTCCAGTAACGCTCGCGTTCGCAGCCGTAGGAAACAGTCTAGCTGATGGTTACCCAGATACAGCGCGGCCAAGCAGCGTCCCAAGCAGCCAGGCCTGTCTTCCGCATCAGGAAGAAGCAGGAAAAAGCAGAAAAATAGCATCTTGCAGAAATAGCCAGCTAGAACTGCGTGCCTTGCCATTTGTTCCTCAACACCTTGGTTTCTTGCGATGAAGTTTCAAAGTTTAAGACTGCATGAGCTGTGTTCTGGGCGTGCAGTAGGTGTGGAGCTGTGAGGGCTGCGCTGCCAGGTTCGGCCGCTGCAGATGCCAGTTTCAGAATTACGCGGCTGGAGTCCGGAGGCAAACGCCTCTTGCCTGTCGGGTAGCTGTTTGGTAGGGCAGTCGCCTGGCCGTGGTGTCTTTTGTATCCCCCTAACCACAGGGCTAAAGACAGGCGTTGGCATCTGAAACACGATCTGCTTTGGGGATGCAAGTACAAAGTTAAGGTCAAAACTGCTGGGGTAGGGAGCACAGAGATTTGCTCCCAGGGGGCACAGTGTCTCCCCGCTGCCGTGCTGCCGGCGCTGAACGCGAGTGGCTCTGCCGCCAGGCCTGCCCGGCCGTTCCTG